AGCCCCAAAAGCATCAAACGCCACCGAATCCTCTTTCTCCATCTAATCTGAGAATATTATCCTTTATCGGCGGCTCTTCTTCACCTCCGGCGATCTCTTGCTCTCAGCCCCGCCGTATTACTTCTCTCCTCTCCTCGCGGATCCTTTGAATTAATGGCGTCTTGATCAGGTTATTCTGCGCGCCCTTGATTGTTTTTTGCTTATGTTTCTTGATGTTGATTCGATTTTGCTCTTGTTAGTTCATATGCTGCTGTTGTTAATTCGGCTGTTTATTGCGAAAGGGCGAAAAATCGTTGTATTTGATAATATTCATGTATTCGGTAAATACTGGAAAATTACATCTGTTGGCCTATCATCTGTTCGTAGCAGTACGTTTTTGCGTAAGGGTTTTGTGATCCCATTTGATTTAGAATTGTCTGACGGCATACATCAACATCAACATACCCAGTATATCCCAGGTTGTACGCAGACCTTACCCTTGTAATTATACAAGGAGGTTGTTTCCATAGCGACCCAAGGTGCGTTGCGTCGTTTGATATATTTTTCTAGAAACTTCACTAATAGAAGAAGCACTAGTATTGAGAAACTACGTCTGACGGCGTAGTATTGAGAAATTTTTATCAGACTTTGGATTTCTGTTATGTTTAAAACGCATGTGTATTTCTGAAATTGATATCGAATGTTTCCCTCAGAACTTACTTTTATGAATCTGGATATGAATCGGATGTTGATGTATTGAGGTTTTCTTGGGGTTATCTATCACAAGAGAAGCTTTTTTGGATCACATGAAGTGGTTGTTGGGTTCATATAGTAGTGATTCGAAGGTACAATCGTTTGGTGAGAGTGTATTATCTTCTCATGATATTTGTTGTTACTTTAGGTTATGACTATGAGTTACATAAGGTTGTTAATTTTTTTTTTTTATTATTCTTAATGGACAGGTTAACCTTGGTGAATTGAATTCATTTTCAAGTAACTTTCTAGTCATTGTATTACATTGGACGTGCACGATATATTAGAATCGGGGTACTAATGGCTGATGGAGACGAGCAACTCGAACTTAGATTCAGAATTTTTGATGGGACGGATATAGGACACGGGTCATACGCATCATCAACTACAGTCGCTACTCTTAAGCAACGGCTTCTTTCTGAGTGGCCTCAAGGTTGTGCTTAGGCTAATGTATATGCAGGTTACATACTTAATCTTGTTTATGTCGCGTCAGATAAAGGTTCTAGTCTACGCCTGCAGCTATATCTTGTGTGTAGAATCTTTATTTATTTTGCTTAATTCTGTATGAAATTTTAGGAATAATTACATAAACTGCTCTGAGTTTTTTTTATTACTTTGCCAATTAAAACAACTACTATCGCCTTGAAAGCTTGTGATTACATTTCAAATGCCCTGCTCTTACGGGTAGTTTTTGTGATTAACACTAAATGTCATTTAATCATCTTCTGGTGTTTGATGAAGTTTGCTTTAGTTGTTACTGCTGGTTGTTTTGGTTTGTCAGATTTACTTGGGTATCTTGTGATTGGAATGTATATTTCTTATGACAAAATTTGCCTTGATAAAAAGAACAACAAAAGAAGAGAAAATAAAAAAATTAAGAAATTGGAGAGGGTGATGCTAGTTATTTGTGGACAGATGATATTATATATTCTTCTAGTTGTATCATTATTGGATATTATTGGTGATTGCAGAAGTTAGAAAAATTGAATTATGAAATTATCAAACGACATTGATTATGGAGACAGTTGATATTACTATGTATTTAGAGTGACTTGGTGACTTGATTCGATATAGAAAACTTCCACTAGTACTCAAATACTCTAGCATAGTTTTGCGAGAACCTTCCACAGTCGTGCGCTAACTTATAATTCCTCAAAGTCAGTTGAAGAGAAACAAGAAAGTGTAGGTTTATGATATTTTGGCCCATATAATTCTCTCACCATATGCTCCGGCTGTTTTGCAGTTACTGTGGTGTATTAGAATGCCTCTCAAGTAATTGCTTTTCTCAAATTCTTTTAAGAATCTACTTTTAAGTTTTTTTTCCCTCTCTTCATTTACAGATAAATCAGTTGTACCAAAGTCGGTCAGCGATATGAAATTAATCCATTCTGGAAAGGTTTTAGATAGCGGGAGGACACTTGCCGAGTCTCGAGTGATTGTGGGTGATCTCCCAAGTGGGGTTATTACAATGCATGTTGTTGTCCAGCCTGCTGTTGTCAAGAAAAAGACAGGTACATCTGATTGATTTATGTTAAATTTCAGCATGACAAATACTATAAGACTTTGTGATTTCTATTTAGTTTTTAGTTTTACTTTGTTATTATTCATTTACCTTCTTATCTTATATCCAGTCGGGGCTTTGTTTTACTGCTACTTGAGTTTCCAAAATTTCTTAACTTGAACTTGTTTTATTATCACCTATTTTGTGTTTATAATAGCTTCAATCACTTTCTTGGCATTTTTCATGATAAAGCGGCTAATTGATTTCTTCAGAATTTGCTGTCGGATCTCTCTCAATGACTTAAGTTTAAATGATACAACGGTGTATTTATTTTATCACGTGTGTAGGGATGCTAGCATGCTTATCTTTTTGGTATACTTAATTTTGAGGATTTAGATAATCTATTTTATATTATTTGAAGTAAAACAATGAGAAAATGGGAAAAAAAATAACTATGGAGATCTACTTAACACGGTACATTCCATTGCTTGAGATTTATTTTTTGGGCAAAATGCAGGTAAGAACCAGTCCGAGAAAGAAAAACAAGGCTCGTGTTCTTGCACTATCCTTTAGCGACTTCCGCGTCATGTCAAATAAGCAAGGCCCACTTCTAATGCTTTGAAAAAAAAAAGAAGATGAAAGAAAAAAGGCTGTCGTAACATTTGTGATAGTTTTAAGCTGTGAATTGAGATTTGGTTTTGATTTTCTTCGGCATGTTTGTGATAGTTTTTAAGCTGTGAATTGAGATTTCGTTTTGTTTTCTGATCTCAGCTTCGGTCAAAACGACGGGAGCTGAGATGTTGATTTAGTGTTGAAGAATGATGCGAATGTATACTATATTCGTTCAAATGAAGTAAGACACAAAGGTTATTGTATATTGCCGTTTTATAGTTGTTAATTAATTGGGAGTATTTGCAGAGGCTCAAAGTGATTCTCAAGACCTTATTTGTTTAGAAAATGTACTTTTTCTATTTTGAAAATTCAGCTGCTCTTCTCTTGCTATATGTGACTTAACTAGAGAGAGATGGCTAATTGAAGCATGAGAAACAAAACTCGAAATTGTTAAAAATATATTGTTCATAAAAATAATGTAACCTATACTATATTACAAAGAAAAGGGCAAAAAGGAGAAACAACTTATGTAAGTGGTAAGTAGTTAAATTAAGGCAAAACTGCATATTGGTACACCACCTTTCATATTTTTGCAAATTTAATCACCACTTTTAAAATCTTGCAAACTAATACACCACTTTTATCAATTTTTGCAAATCGATAAAAATTGGTACGCTGAATTGGTAAAGCACACAAAAACTGGCACGCTAAATCCTTCGAGTCGTTCTTATGCATGTCAAATGATGAACTACTTATTGCCTGAAATATCCCGACAACGAAAACCAAATCGAATAGTATACAATATGTCTACACATAGTATACAAAGTTTACTCTTTCGAAAAAAAAATAAAAAAATTACAGCTTACATAACCCGTAATGAAAACAAGAGCACAATGAGGCGGAAAGAATAGCTCCAGCCAAGATGCAAAAATCTACGGCATACAAGCTTTTATCCTATATGACTCTTAACTACCGCTCGGTGGGTCGTTCCTCAATAACCATCCACTGCCACAACAATTACATCGACTTTAATTCACTATTTATCAACTCACATAATTTTATTTAATCACTTCTCATCAGTTTTCTCCTACTTTTACATTAAATTAACTTCAATTATTTATAATTTAAATATTATTTTAATTTAAACTTAAATTCCCACTGACAACTAACTACACCACATTTTTTTCAAAATTAACCATGATTAAAGAAAAAAACCAATCAAATTCATATCCAATCACACCATTACTTACCAGCGATCAAGCAAACCTCACACCTGCATTCTCATCCATAGTCCACACAAAACCAGGCATGTCCAGTCTCCTCCCGGCCACTGTCCTGTAAACATACAGCTTATCAATGGGGCAGCTATCGGGCCTCGTCTGAGGCGGGCCCCTCTCATCTATAACCTCGACATTAAGCATCGGCATTTTCTGGCCCAGAACCTTACACGCCCCATAACTAACCGAGCAAGACGACATCCAAAGGGATCGCATTGTCTCCAGTTTCCCAGCATTCGCCAGCAAAGCAGCGTCCCCAAACGGGCAATCCCTAATCTCGAGCTTTCTCAAGCTATCACAGCCCAAAAGCACATGGTGAAGGCCCGAGTCACTATCCCCAGCAAAAGCTATAGATAACATCTCCAGTTTCTTAGCATGAGTTCCAATATGCTCGAAAACTCGATCTGTCAAAAGCCCGGAGAGAGAAAGTCGCCTCAAATCCTTGCAGCTTTCGACAATTGCTCCGAATCCAGCGTCAAACGGGTCGTGGGTCAGGTAATCCGGGGCTCGGGGCTCGATAATGCAGAGCCGGAAGCGAATTAGGTTGGGCCGGTTTCGAGCGACGGTGATTAATGCGGCATTCGACATCTGGCGGCAGAAGTAGAGGACAGACGAGAGCTTGGGGCAGCCCTCAGATACGGAGACGAGTCCTTGCTCGGTAAGGAAGACATTGGGTTCGGCCTCGAAAGGGTCGGAAGGGAACACGCGAAGTTCTTGCAAGTCTTTGCATGACACGGAAAGAGCTTCGAGGCCTGTGTCCTCAATGTAATCCAGAACCTGCAGAATTAATTAACAAGCTTTTATAAATTATTAGTCCTTTTAATTTTTTCTATGCGAGTATGAAAAATTGCCCATTCATCAAAATATATTAAATTTTATAGTCCGTTAACTTCCAATCACAGTTTTGAATATTTTCAGTACTGTAAGATACTTAAAGGGATAGAAACATATCGGTATAGTCGTTTAGGATTTAGGCACAAGAAGTATTACTGTGCATACTTGTAGGATCGAATTAGTGAGCCGCTCGAATAAGTGAACTGATTTTGAAATTAAGCCATGCAACAAATGACTTGTCAAGTCCCAAATTAGGAGAACACTATAATCCCAGGAGAATATTCCTTGTCCTAACTCCTAAATGATTCGACATGAGCCAACTTAAGATTTCAAATTCATTCCAACAATTGACTCTCGGTGAAGTATATACATTACCCATAAACGTTGTAAATGCCGGCACTGACAAATAAGCTTCACAAGGTCAGCACTTTGTATTGCAGCGTAGCTCAAGTTTAGTGAAGTAATACCGGAGCAGACTGAATACATGGCCGGAAGATATGCCGGTTCAACATCCCAGAAGCCAGACAAGCCTTTGAGTTGTTTACAGGACAAAAATGCTTCGGACAAGCTTGAGAATAGATCGGACTGAATCTCAGCTGAATATGCAACTGTACCCAATTCTACTAACTGAGGGGCCCGGTGCAGCAGGGTCGGGAGCTTATCAAGGGGCACGGCTCGACTCAGCCTAAGAGTCTTCAGATTGGGGCACCGTGAGACCAGGCGCTCCAAGGCAGAGAAATTAACCTCGGAGCCTAAGCAGGAGATATTAAGCGATACCAGCGAAGTACAACTGTCGGGAAAATGGCTAAGCCAATGCCCACTGTTGTCCTCCACATCACAGTCCCTTAAATCTAGTTCTCTAAGTTTCCTGTATTGAGGAAAATACGCAGATTGTCAAGACTCATGCGAGTCCAGTTAAGAACTGAGCATGTCTATAAGGTAATACTTGATGCAAACCAACATATCCAAGCAAACTTTAAGAAAAAATAAAAAATAAAAGCAGATCTAGAGAAGCATTCTTAGTTGATGTTATCATTATACGACATGGATGAAATTAATCACACAGGACTTCGAACTTATTAGCAAGATCATGAGAAAAAAAAAAAAAATCCATTGAACCATGATAACTTTCTAGATCCCAAAAAAGATTGAGATTTTCAACCGCATCACAGTAAGTTAGATGACAATAACTTCCTTTGAAAGCAACTTCAAATGATTAGTAAAAGGCAAAGAAAAGAAAAGAAAAAAAAGAAAGATATTCCAGGACAGATAGAATCAACTCAAAATTAAACAGACCATACATCCAACAAGAGAATAATAGAGGTCATATATTCCAGGACAACCAAGATGGAATCTTCTAGATACAAGCATAATAGACATGCTAGCTAATTTAGCTGCATCATCGGATCGGAAATGTTTATTCCGATAGCTAAAAACTAACATCACAGAGATCAGATTATGTTACGAACAACATACACCTAAGCAACAATCTTCCTGTACTCCAAGAAATATATTTGTCGAAAATTCATTGTAGATGGAATCGGAAGTGTCTGCCCAAACATCATTCGGGATTCGACATTAATCGACAATATATTAAATAAACGCAGAAACATCAAAACTTTCCTAAGTCCAAGATCCATCAATGCAGGCTTAAACCCTTCCACTCAAGAACATAATTAGACGTTAAAACATAAAAATCTCAAGGTTTCGACATTGCGGCAAATAAACTATACATTCAGCCCGAATGCCAAGAAAAAATTAAAACTTGGTCCCAACCCAAAATTCGCCTTCATCAATCCATCAGAAAGAAAACTACGATTCAACAAAAGAACACTAGTAACTCAATTGATTTCAAATTACTAACCTGCAATTGGCAGCGATGGAGGCGAGGCCGTCCGTCGTGAAACCCTCACAGGACGAGAGCACCAAAACTTTGAAACACTTAAACGACCGCGCAATCAGCTCGAGGCTCTCATCCGTCACCACCATCCGCTTGAGCCTGATCTCCTCGAGCAACGGATACGCCATCGACATCGCCCTAACCCACGGCTGCACGTGACCGCCCCACCCCTCCGGCACGAGGTTGAAATCGGCGAAATGCGGCTTCCCCTTCATCTCCACCGCCCTCACCTCCGGAAACCGACGGATCACGATCTCCGGCGAGACCGCGTAGCAGTTCCCGATGAAAACACGGCGGCGGCACCATCGCTCGACGTCGTACCAGGACTTGCACACGAGCGAGGCCGAGTTCCGATCCTTATCCGAGGTGAGGAACCTAAACACGTGCTCCAAGACCTCTTCCGGGAACGAGTACGCCATGGGAGGGGCAAAATGGTAATTACACCTTCTGGATCTGAGATTTCCACTTGCAGAAAAAAAAAATGGCGGATGAGAGCAAAGACAGATGAAGAAAGTTTATTTATTTATTTTTTTCGTGTTTTTAATATACATCAGATCTGTACTGTTTTTTGAGCTAAGAACTAAACTAGGGTTTGAACAAAAGAGCCCGATGACGACACGTGGCGTCGGTAAATCGTAGCCGTCTGTTGAGAGGTTTTTGGGACATTATCTTGTCGGAGCGAACGATCGTAGGAAAATAGAAAAAATGTGTCTGTACACGCGTCTCTATCTCTCACGTGTCGAAAAATGAAAAACAATTGTATTATTATTATTTTTTTTGTATTTATTATTTTACCTTTTTTATCGTAAATATTTATTATTATCAATCGCAGGGTTCGTCATGCTTTGGGGTCTATTTCAGAGTCTATTGATGGCGTGGGAGTTGGGATTCCTGCAGGTTATTGCAGAGGTCGATAGCCAATGTGCAGCGAAGATGATACTTGGGCCTGGGGAGAACTTTGGAGCTCATGATACCCTAGTCGAGCCATTCACAGCCTGATTCAAAAGGAGCGTGTGTTCGAATCCAACATATGCATAGGGAAACTAATTTTGCGGTTGATCATATGGCGGCCTTTGCGTCATCCTCCACGTTGGGCATGCATCAGTGTGATTCTCCTCTCGCAAGGATGAGATCGTGGTTTGAGTACGACATTATCAGGGTGTCCCACCTCTACTCTAGTAGTTTAGGCCTCGGCCTCCATCTTTCTACCGAGAAAAAAAAGTGGGGGGCTGATGATAAAAACTTTATCCTACTTATATTAGATGAAATAAATAAAACTGGGAGACCAAATATTTATTTTACATGTATATAAATACAGTGTAACGAATAGGTGAACTGACCAATTATACTTTATTCAAACTTATATTAAAATATATCAAATCAAATTAGTTGCATAATTGTTTAGAGTTTGATGAATTAAAGTATGATATATATACACACACACACACAAACTCATATATAGAATAATATAAAATAAAAATATGTGTGAAGAAAATGATACTCACTTAAATAATTTTGCTCTATTGCATGCTTATCATCATCCAGCATTGTCTAATTTGGTGGATTGTGAATCATATCACATGGTGGCCTTATATTTTCACTGTGGTTTTTGTATTCCAATGGAAGGTAAAATAATAATAATAATAATAATAATAATAATAATAATAATAATAATAATAATAATAATTAATTAATTTAAAAAAATGATGAGAGGGTGAAAAAATGGAGTCCAAAAAAGGGAAAACTCATGATTCACATAAAATAATGGCAGTATCTTATGGATGGTGATTTGTGAGGGGGCCATGATGAAAATTACAATAATAACCTAGTAATTAGGTGCTTAGATGAGGAATGATTATATGATATTGATTGGTGGACTAACTAATGATACTAATATATAATGGCACCCAATCATATGAAGCCTCCCACTCACTTAACTAGCATTCTAATATATATTGCTAATTATTAAAAACAAAAAAATTTATAATTTAATAAATTAGCATACTTTTCATTGTCAAAGGAATTACAATAAAAAGAGTTCATCTTTTCTTCTCTCTCTCTCTCTCTCTCTTTTTTTTTTTTTTTT